AGAGGTTCGGATTGCTTTCAGACCACATGTCCGCCTGTTCTAGCAAAAAATGCCCACTGTGCATACTTTGGAATGATCACTAGTCGCTAAAACTTTGGTCCATATTGGACTTGTAGTTACTGTGATAGACTTCTAACAGAAAGGGGGTGTCTTAAGGCTATTTACTTTCTAAAAAGCATGCCGGTAAAGTCAGTGATTGTTCTTTGAGTCTACAATCTTTCTATTAAATCTAATTAGAACATACTTTTTAGGTAACGAGTCAATTATATTAGATGCCAACTATTTCATTCAGTCGTCACCTAATTGGACTAGCTCATTACCTCAACACGGATCATTCGACCTTCTTATTGAATATAAATGTTCACAATCCGTTAAACTATCACTCATTTTTGAAGAACAGTTAACAAATAAAATACTACTAAATCAAACCTTCTATCTCGATGAACAACCAACAAGAATTCAGAAATCGTTTACTCTTTCCTTTAATAATCAAAATTTATCTCTAAATACGGTTATTCGTTGTTATCTAACACTTAGTAATCAACTTAATAACATTATACATGCAACCAGTTTAGTTTACGGAACAGTATTAACAAAGTATCAAGGTAAAGTAAAGGTATCATTAATCTAGAGGATTCTTTATAATTATCGTTGTTTTCCTTTGCTTTGAAGGTTTCAAAGTTGACGGTTATAATCTATTAACAGCAAATGGTGATCTATTTTTAATACGTGGTGTTAACAGCCAACATGCTGATTATGATGGGTATGATCGAAATTATTTGTATGATGCATTACCATCAATGAAAGACAAGAAATTTAATAGTGTTCGTATTCTATGGCGAAAAGATATATCACACTCGGGTTTTAAAAATCATTCGTACTTAGAACACATAATAAAACGCTGTATTGAATTAGAAATGATTCCAATTGTTGAATTACACGATGTTACAATGAGTTCGTCTATTGATGATTTATTAAGTATGGCTGATTTTTGGATAGAACATTTACCGTTATTAATTCGTTATAGAAAATATATTATTGTTAATATTTGTAATGAATGGGGTTCGTTTTTCACGCGAAGTACAAAATGGTCGTATGCATATCAACTAGTAGTGCAACAAATACGTCAAGCTGGATATAGTGGTGTTTTATTAATTGATTCACCACGTTCGGGACAAAGTGCAAGGGCAATTCGACGACAAGGTGCAAATATTATTCAGTCAGATCCTGAACATAATATCTTATTTAGGTACATATTCAATCCTCCAATGTATTTCATATATGGATTCAATGAATTTATTGTACTTTTCTTTTCATTTAGCGTTCATATGTATATTCAATGGTGTACATGGCCATTGTTTACCTATAATATTCGATCTCAATTATTATCTTATAGACTCCTAAATTTGCCATTAATTATTGGCGAATTTGCTTCATCGCATCCGATGCCAAAATTTCTTCAATGTACATTAGTTAAGATTGACATTAAAACTATAATGGAAGAATGTTATGATTTACAAATTGGTTATATTGGTTGGTCATGAAAAGAGAAATTTAGACTTTTACGTTCAGAGGGAAAAACGGGTTTCCGAACATCAAAACCGGCTTTCCAAAACATTTTTCATCAAAAATGAACGTCATATTCGTGCTCAGCGTCAAAAACTGCGTTCAGTGGTGTTTCACTCGAAGTTTGGTAAAAATTTTGCTTGTCAAAAATGCCTTTGTTCGGCTGTCAGGTGTTTAGTATCTATCACAAAAACAACGTCTTCAGACGTTATTTTTAGATGACACCTTAAAAAGCTTTTCAAAACTATTTTTTTACCAGAATGTAGCTCGCGCTCTCCTCTATCGATTGATGTAGTTTTCATATTTTGTCGGTGCTTATACAGCATAAAAAAAGGTTTTTATCAACTGTACGGAAAATTTTTTGCCGATTGGAAAACATTCACTTTTCGGTGTAATGAGCCTACACAGAACAACAATGAATATTTCTAACTTTTTTTTATCTACAAATATACTACAGAGAGCGGAGAATATTTTGATATAAACCGCTTGTCAAAAGGTTTTTTCGTTACCGAGTTATGACCAAAAGAAAAAGAGGATGGGTGTGTACAGAAACTTTTTGCCGCCACTGTATATTTCAGTGGGTTAATGTGGCTGCTTTTATGACACAATATATTCAATAAAAAATTTTGTTTTCCACCGGTGTACGATATCCGCAGTTTTTCAGAAAATCTTTGCTGTTCACTAAATTCGAGTCAAATTTTTAAAAACCAAGTTGATCATGCAAAGAAATGTATTCACTATAAAATGCGATATAACGTAGGTACTACAATATTTTATCATAACGTTTTGTCTCTTATTCGTATGCTGTGCTTTCTTTTTAACAGTGTTCAGTATTCCACAAAATGTATTCTCCCACTACATCATAGAGCAATATATTATTCATTTTATCGACTTATTTATTAAACAGAACTTTATTAGAAAGATGATGGATGGGAAGAGAAGTATTTGAAAAATTCATGCTAAGGTATTTTATGAGACTTTGCTCAATAAAAACTAAACTAAACTTTTAATGAGTATGCTGCGGTTAAAAAGTGAGGTAGTATCATAATAAGAAAAATCCAGTTATAAGAGAAACAAGGTGTAGATTCAATTTAAAGCCAGCCTGAACTCTGCAGCATTCAGTTTGACGAAGAAATCTTTTAACAGTGTTGATCACCCATACTTTTTTTCTTGCCAAAAGTGTACTTATCCTTCAGAAGGACAAAAAATCTGTTTTTATGTTTCTATAGGGTTTCGACTTCGATATTCATATGCTTGTACCCTTGCCATATGTGCTTGTGCATATGCAGATAGTCTTCTCCTAAATAACCTATCTTGTTTATCTAAAAACGTGTTATATATAGTTGCTCGAAGGTACTGCTTCATATCCACTGGGTTTCTTTTTATAAAGATTTATCTATTCTAACTAAATATAATTGAAGCAAAGTCTGTCATGCACGTCTGAAAACACCATGGTTAAATTCTCCATTACTGAAAATCTACATACAAACATGTTTTTAAGTCAAAAATAATAGGTTCGTTTAAAACAAGAATTTGTCTATCTATACAGACAGATCTCTACAAACCTTCATGAAAAACCATGATATCGCATTCTTGAAGATATAAACTTTAATGCGTTTGAAAGAGAACAGTTTGGTCTATGAAACCATGTGCTTTTCTAAAAATCAACCATTTGTACAGCAAAAAGTAAGATATAAAAGCGGTTCATTACGTTGGAAGCATACGTTTATTATGACTGTCTCCATACGAACGTTGCATATACATCACGATTGTATAGCTTTTTTAAATAATCAGTATAGTCTGACATTTGTTTTCTTTTGAAAAATAATACTTATTATTGTATTGTTTAATAGTATCCTGTGTTAGCCCTCTTTTATATGATCTGTTCTCTAAAAAAAAAGCTTTATTACGAAACCTAAAGGAAGTGCAACCATTTCTAAACCCTTTTAGGTTTCGTAGAAGACAAGGTGCGGTACGAAACCATTTTAACACTAGAACACCCGTAGACCATTTTGTGATTTTTATCCTTAATAAAACAAACTGCATACAATTTATTTAAAAATAAATTATGTCATAACTTTTAATTTGTCCCACAAAA